CCCCAGGGTACACTGTGGGCCTCCACTAAATTCCTTCCTCTGATTCTGCCATGATAAAGGCTTTGAGATCCCACTCATAGTGATTCCAATACAAGTTACCCTTTCTCTACTGCTGTCATCAGTGACAAAACATGATTGGTATCAGAATCATGAATGTGCATTTGTTATGAGAGTGAACACATGTATGTATGCACCACATATTTCTAAAAGCTTAGCACAGTTTAAGGGGATGCAGGAAAACTCAAGTTACAACAAGACAAAATAAGCATGACCTGTCACTTACAACTCCCTACCTACCTCTCTATCACAAATACACACACAGATCCAAGATGTCCAATTCACAGTTTAAACTTCATTACATATGTATTTGCAGAAAGAAAATAAAGAGTTTTAATTGTTTCCACAAGGGCTTGGATTTCAGATTCAGAAATGAGTAAACAAATTTGAATTTACATTTCTATTTAAACAATATTAGAGATAATGGAAAATAGAAAATTCATAGCAAAAATAAATAATTGAAAAATATTCTTAACTCAACAGTGCTTTAAATTAAACATCATGTTCATACTTCTAGAATACAGATGCACTGTATTTTCAAGTATAGTTCATGCTTCCAGCAGCAGCTGCATGTGACCAAGGTTCAATGTCAGATGATGTCAAAAAGGGAATTAAGGTAGCAGCCATTCTATAGAATTTTGCCCAAGAATATTGTTATAAAAACCAAACTAAAGAGGAACGGTGCACAGGATAAAATACAGGAATGGAATACAAACCAGGAGGAAAAGCACTACTATACACTCATTCCCTAGCAATCGAGGTGGCCTTTCCTCCCGGCAAAAGAGTGTATACAAGGTAATGTTTTTCCTTTGGTTATACTGAGATAAGAAATTTTCAGCCAGTTTTTTTAAAAATTGTACTACTTAATATTGATGGATTTGCCTTCAGTCTATTAGTGATTCCAAAGTATTTAAAAGAACATCCTTAAATCATTTCAGTATATTTTCTTTCTCTCTTCAGAATTTTCAGTCTAACTGAAAAGTTACTATTTTATGCAGATTAGGGGTTTTAGAAGTTGCATTTTTGATGGTGCTAAATTCATGTTTTAACAGCTAGATTTCATTGTGAGTGTAACGTGATCATCCTGACTTCATTCACAATGGTTCCAAACTGTTCCAAAACATTACAAATTGTAATATCCTTTTGCAGTTTTCATATTTATGTATGAAAAACCATGAATCAT